CATTCCTTCCAATAAAAGTAACCCCATGTCTTCTTCCATTCTGCTCAAAAAAAAAAAGAAGGAAATTTGTCACGAGCAAAATATAAATGATTATAATAAAAACCCAGTTCAAAAAACACATTCAATTAGTAAAATATGATTGAATTCATTCTTTTGATAAGCAAATAAAGCTACAATCTTTAAGATTGAAAAAAGAAATAGGAAGTGAGGGAACCTGATAGAGAGTGCAAAGGAGAAATCTTGCCAAGGAATTGAAACGAATTGAAAGTGCCATTTTCGCCCCTTTGTTGGGGTTTTAGGGTTTACCAGTCTCTTTGATTTGGTTCAGATTTTAACCACTGCTTGATACTATAGTTCTTTTAAAAAATTTATTCTTTTATTTTTTAGGGGAAAAAAAAAAGCGGGTGTGCCGTTCTGTATTGTTGTTATCTTTTTGTTCATAAAACCTAGTAAACTAAATCAAAATTAAAATTAAATTACATTATATTATTTGTTAATTACAAAAGCTAAATGAATGAGTGAATTTATTATAGCAGCAGAGAGATCTTCATGGATTGTAATAGTGTTTTATAGTGAATTTTATTTTATTTTATTTTATATTTTATATTTTATATTTTAATTGTGTTGATTTAAAATTAAATTTGATAATTTATTTTGATTGTTCTTGTATGATGATTTTATGATATTAAGAAAAAAAAATTTACTCAATTAATATTTAGTTTAGTAAAATAAAATTTTATTTTATTAATTTAAAATAATTAGAGTTTTTTGAAGATGTTCCAACTTAAACAAATCTTTAAGCTTCAATTATTATTATTTTTTTGCTATCAGCATGTTCTTAATTGAATATGAATGGGGAATATCTCCAACTTTTTTTTTTGTTTTAGTCTTTTGAAATATTTTTTTATTTAATTTTTTTAATTTAATCTTTTCACGTTAAATTTGTTTGGAATTGAACTTAATGATTTGTTTTAGTTGTCTAGATATAAAAACCTTAATACTTGACAAAATTAAATTAAATTTTACTAATTTAAAACAATTAATGCTTCACATATCAAATTTAAACCTAAAACATATGTTTAACTCTAGTTTTGCAAGATCAAGAATTAAAGTGAAAGGAAAAATTGATTAGTGTTGTATCACATGCGTCTTCTTGTGTGAGAAGATGTCGAGGCAACGCTTGCAACTTCCTCTAGTCTTAGAATCCTGCCTCCTTTGGTGGCATTGGAAAAAGCTTGGCGAGGGCTTGTTTGGCAAGCAAGGCATGTTGACGGAAGAGCCGTGATGGGCTCAAGCCCCCTTCCCTTTTTTTTTTTTTTTTTTTATACTCTTTTTTTTATCCTTAATTTCTAATTACTCTCTGTCTCTCTCTCTAAAACAACAAGGTTACCTATTATTTTGTTTTTATATTAAATTTTATATTTATTATTATTATTATTTATTTTATTTTGAGTATTTTTTAATTATTTTTTTAATTTCATCCTCAATGTGAATTAGTTGGAATTAAATTTCATGATTTTGTGATTTTTTTTATTTGTCTTTTATGAGGTAATTACAATCTCATATCCTGAATTATAGGTTTGAAAAATTAACCTGAGTTAACTTTGGACTTTTTTTCTTGGGTTCTTTTTTAATTTTTTTATTTCATCTTTCTACGTTGAATTAGTTTAGAATTAAACTTTAAATTTTATTTATTTATTTTCTTTCTATGAGATTATTTCAGTTTCATGAATCAGGTCATAAGCTTCATAGATTCATCAAGGTCATGAGTTTGGAAAGTTAACCAAAGTTAACTTTAGACTTTTATTTCCTTAATGTTTTTTAATTAATTTTTTTATTTTAACTTTTTACATTGTGTCAATTGAAAATTGGAATTCGTGGTTATTTTTTTATTTTTTTTCTTTTAGATTATTATAATCTTATAACCTAGTTCATGGGTTTAGTAGGTTAACTTGAGGTTTTTTTGTTATTTTTTTAAATTTTATCCTTCAGCATTGAATTATTTTGAAATTAAAATTTGTAATTTTTTTCTATTAGATTATTCAATTCTCATGACCCAAGTTGTAAGGCTTGGTATGGTACCCAAGTTTATTGGTTTTTTTTTGTTAATTGATTTATTTATTTTATTCTTCTATGTTGAGTTAATTAGAAATTATGTTTCATGATTTTCTTTTAATTTATTTTTTATAGAGTTATCCTAATCTCCTAACTCAATCATGAGTTTAGTAGGTTAACCCGAGTTAATTTTATTTTTTTTTGTTTTTTAATTTCAACATTAGATTGGTAAAGAATTGAGTTTCGTAATTTTTTTTAATTTACTTTCTATAAGGTTATTTTATTTTCATAACTTTGGTTTAGAGTTGACTTTTTTTATATTTTTTAAATTAAATATTTTTTTTTTCATTTTTATTGTTTAATATTCTATTGATTATTATCTCTTTATTATTTTTGAAGGAATGGAAAATATAATTTAGATATTATTTTATTAAATTTTTATTTTGTTATCAAGTAAGATTATAGAAATATTTTTAAAATGTTGATAAGTGTTTTTTTGTGTGCAAGTCATCATAATAATTTTTTTTATTTGGTTGATTTATTATAATTTTATTTTTCTTATATAATTAAATGAAAGAAGTTTATGGAGTGAAGTTAGGTTTATAAACCAAATCATGAATTTTTTTATTTCTTTAAAATATGATAATAATATCTAAATATTTTTTAAAATTAAAAAAATTAATCAGGCCTCCAACACACATTAACACATGTCACCAATTTAGTTTTTCTTCTAGAATATTATTGCTCTTGTTTAAACCACTGTTCAATCTCATTACTTTGTTTGGAACTTAAACTCTTTTTTTATCTCTTGATTCAGTTCATTCGTGGTGTGAATTCAATTAAGTTTGCGCTCACGTCCACACACCATCAAGTAACTAATTGCTCCCTATATTTCATATATATTTGGTGATCATTTGCTCTTATCATAATTAATTAGATTCATTGACAAAATCGTAGAAGCTGAGCTAGCTTTCTGAACTTCAATAAGATTCTGGTTGGGATGGTGCCCATCTTTAGCTTTCAAATGGGAATTGCTTGGAGTGTGCGTGGTTTTGATCTCCTCTCACGTTTCTTTGTTTCTTCCCCTTCTTCTTTCGAATGTTTTAGATTCATAACGAGGTCATTTAACTTGCTTATAATGTAGAACATCTGTATAGTTGTCGGATTTGATCACGAGTTGATTTGAAAAAATACTAGGTTATTATGTCATTGAATTGACGCGTAAATCATTAAATAATATTGTTTTTTTTCTATTCTAAGTGTTGACCGAATAGGTTTGAACTAAATTTTACTGGGTTGACTCTAAAACTGATTGCATTAAAGGGTTTTTCCAAATTAATTAGATCCATAAAAAGATGTCATGAATGCTAGTTGAAGACGATAAAGCTGGAAAAAAAAATGGAGTCTGGCGATTCCTGTAAGAAAAACACAGAGGGGGAGAGGACGAGAGAGACAGATGGTGCCTAGGCTAGCTCCTTGTTCAATTGTCCAGAGCATTCCTATAAGGAAATCTTTCCGAAATATTCCCTAATCATGAAATGAAGAATAGATTCAAGCATAATCCTCTAAAGCCTGCAGAGAAACTTTGCCACTCCAAATTTGATATTTGCAGCTTTTAATGAATATTTTAATGAGCAATTGACTATTTATTTAATTCCTGCACAAGTTAGATCTTCTTTAAAAATATTGAAGTGAGGTTCAAATTAATTTGTTTCAGCTACATAAAAATAATATGTCAAAAAATCATCTTAATTTAAATTTTTAGATAAGGTTTTATAATATGATTTATATAATTCTTTAACATATCTCTTTAAATAAAAGTTTTTTAGACTTGAAATTTACATAAATTCATTTTATCTTGTGTTTAATTTTTATCAAATAAATAGAAATGATGAAATTTAAATTCGTGATCGTTTGATCATCAAAGTTCTGATACCATGTCAAAAAACCATCTCAACTCAATAGTTTAAACTGTTAAATTAAGTTTTAGAATATAATTTATATTATTCTCTAACATATTATTGCTTAATTACAATAATATCTATCATTTTTTAAGCCAAGATTCCTCTCTTAATCTCGTATATATTTCCAATCAATATTTTTTTTAATATGTCCAGCCATTACATAACATAATCAAAATTATTTCAAAGATTCATATTTTTGAAAAAAAAATTAATTTTTTTTCCAATATCCAGAACTCTTCCTTCTCCTTAATCTTTGTTTAATTTGAATGAATTGTCAAGGTAAACAACACGCAACTAATTTTTTAGCTACCAATTTGATATTCTCCAAGCACGTTCGCTTTCAAGTAAGCATTGATTTATTTACTGAATTAATTTTAATGGTTTCACAAATTAATATTAAAGTTAGATGATTTCATACGAGTTTGAATATTTTTGTAATGGAGGAGATATGTTCATAATTATTAAATTTCACACGATTTAATGGATTGATTAATTTGATTCAGAGAATTGATGTGTTTAATTTGCTGATGTTCTATTTATCACATGAATTATCTCGCAAGTGGGATGGTCTTTCTTCTTTCAGCTTCTCTTCCTTTGATACTATGGGTCTTCATTTTTTGCTTGAGATCCCAGGGATGAGAGTTTTTTTAATATAATTTTTATGGCAGCACCGTGGCATCTGCCCCGATCTTAATTACACTTTAATGAATTGTGTAGTACGGTTAAAAAATTAATTTAATTTTAAATTTTAAATAATTAGATAAAGTTTTAAGATATAATTTATATTATTTTTAATATATATTTTAATTAGGTTTGAAATTTATACATATTTATATTATTTTGTATTTATTTTTTATTAAATAAATAGAGATCGTGAAATTCAAACTCATGATTATTTAATTATTAAAATTTTAATATTATATTAAAAATTATTAATTATTAATTATTTTAATTTAAAAACTTAAATTAAGAGTAGATTTCAAAATATAATTTTGTGACACGCGGCAACAATCAGCTAGGGGTTTTATCTCTTTTGTAACCTTTGCAATGCAATGAATCTACTAGTAGTGGAACCCGACCACCTGAATGTGTTCCCTTCACCATGCCTTGGTCAGTGCAGGTTATCCTCTGTCAAAGGTATTCAACGCAACGATGTCCAATCTCCTTCACTTCTGTCCCTTATCACAAGCATTTGGTTGACAATTGCAACTAATTGAAATGCTTAATTATTTGATTGAAGATGTTCCATTTTGGATTTGAAGAAAGGTTAAAAGATGTCCAAA